CCGCGCAGCAGGAGAGCGGGCGGACCCTGCCCAGAGTGGTTTTGTTCATGGCCGGCGTCCGCTGAACAACGCAATCGAGATGGGCGTTCTGGTTTTCTTCTGGCATGGCACGAGGGGCATCGGAACGCGCCGATTGTTCATGTCTGCTCCAACCCTGGAGACGTTCTGTGCCACTGGCTCTAGGACCCCCAGAGTATATGACCCATGCAACAAGAACTTGCTACACTGACGTTCAGTATGTTCTATCACTCCGAGTCTCTGGCCAAAGCCCAATACCTCATCACAGCTACTTGCGCCATAAAGCAGGGGCGTCCAATCTCGGGCGCGCCGTTCTCGCTTGCTCTGCGCCCTGTCCTCGTTCGCCCCCAGCGTCGCTCATTGGCCATGTTTGTCCCGCTTCCGCCGCGCGTCGACGATCTTGCCATGTTTGTTTCCGCGGACGGCGCCCAGGCGCTGCCAGTCGCTGCTAAGACAATATATCCTGCTGGTCTCTGCGCGGGCTTGATATTGATAGGCCCTTGCCCTTTGCAGCGCGCTGCTTCAAGCCGCGCGAGTTCAACGCCTCCAAGCTCAATAAAGCTGCGACGACGGCCAAGTACCCGGGGATGGCGATAGGCCTGGGCGGGCTAGGGCCGTCTTGGAAACAGCGCGCAACTACGATGTCCATGCGCGCGGGGGGATCAAGCTCATGAGGGCAGGCCTCGCATTTAGCTTTATCGCGCGCAGTAGATATGCCGCACCTGTACGATCTTATGCAGGCCAACTACACTGCCCTGCACGTCGCGCATTGAACGCGCAGGAAGAATGCCACCAATTGCATACGCAAGCACCTCGGCATTGTATACATCCTCGTCTTTTCTTCTGCCTCAAGGATGTGGGTCTTAGACATTGCACTGATAGTGATGTCGCCTCGAGGGCCTCCATGATTCGCGCCAGCGTAACCCCCGAGGGCTTCCAAGGCATGCAAACACGCCCGACATGAAGATCATGTCTCAGTGTTGCGGGGCTCGCCGATGGGCACACTGAGCTCCAGCAGCAGGCGCGCGATCGGGGCTCAGGCGATGGCCATAATCGGAGGTGAGGGGGTGAGATCGAAGTGGAACGGAGAGCCCCCCACCAGGAAATCGATTTCGGTTTCGTGTTCGTGCGTGCCGTGCGTGCGGGCGAGGCGAAGCTGCGTGGGCGGGCGAGAGAAAGTCTCCTGTGGCTGAGGCGCGGCCAGACCAAATGTCTCCCTTCCGGGCGGCCGGGGCCCCGGGGTGTCCCGCGGGTGTCCCGCTGGTGTCCCCTGTGGCTGAGGCGCGGCCGGACCAAATGTCTCCCTTCCGGGCGGCCGGGGCCCCGCGGTGTCCCGCCGGTGTCCCGCTGGTGCCCCGTCGGTGTCCCGAGAATGATGATGTTGATGATGATCATGATGGTTGTGTTGATGGTGATGATGATGACGATGATGGTGTCCTGGTGATGATGATGATGATGTTGATGATGATGATGAGATGACGATGATGTGTGATGTTCTGCCCGTTGTTAGTGATGCTGATGTTGGTAATGCTGATGCTGCTGCTGATGATTATGGTATCCCGATGATGATGATTATGACGGTGGTGACGATGATGGAGATGGTGATGGTGTACCGATGATGATATTGATGATGATGTTGCTGATGATGATGGTGTCCCGATGATGTTGATGATGCTGTTGATGATGATGATGATAATGAGCTGATGATGATGATGATGATGATGTCCCGATGTTGTTGATGATGTTGACGGTGACAACGATGGTGACCATGATGGTGTCCCGATGATGATGATGATGATGATGATGATGATGATGATGATGATGATGATGATGCTGATGGTGATGATGACGATGGCTGTGTCCCGCTGGTGATGTTGATGATGTTGATGATGATGAGATGACGATGATGTTGATGTTTCTGCCCGTTGTTGTTGTTGATGTTGATGATGATGTTGGTAATGATGATGCTGCTGATGGTGATTATGGTATCCCGAGGATGATAATGACGGTGGTGATGATGATGGTGATGGTGATGGTGTACCGATGATGATATTGATGATGATGTTGGTGATGATGATGTTGCTGATGATGATGGTGTCCCGATGATGTTGATGATGCTGTTGATTATGATGATGATAATGAAATGATGATTGATGATGGTGTCCCGATGTTGTTGATAGTTTTGACGATGACAATGATGGTGACCATGATGGTGCCCCGATGATGATGATGATGATGCTGATGGTGATGATGACGAAGGCTGTGTGCCGATGATGATGATGATGCTGATGTTGCTGACTATGATGAGATGATGATGGGGATGATGATGATGGCCTGATGATGATGGCGTTGATGATGATGATGATGACGACAGTGCCCCGATGACGATGCAGACGATGGTGTTGGTGATGATGATGATGATGATGATGATGATGACGTTGAATGTTAGATCGATTGTGATATCGGTAGTGAGATCGATAATGAGACCGAGCGAATGAGATATATCGAGTGAGATCGATTGTGAGATCGATCGACTGAGATCGATCGAGCGAGACCGATAGTGAGATGGATAGTGAGACCGATCGAGTGAGACGCTGCATCCTCCCCCCCCCGAACCTCCTTATCACCCGAAGGGTGGTCGTATAGGTATGAGTTCTTCCTCATTCAAGGTCTCTGGGAACGTGTCCGAGCAGCGAAACTCAGGCCCTCCCTATCTTATCCTCCTCCCCAGGTATCGGAAGAGGCTCTCTGGATTTTGCGTATCTGAAATGGACAGATGTTGCTTGGTCTTGAACTCGGTGGTAGAGATAATTACAGTAGCCCAGCATTAATGAGAGTTGCGACTATGAGCTCCTTGTGCAACGGCTGGAACACCGCAGGCAAGGGGCGGTCGGTTGTCGACTCGGTTGCGAGTCAGCGGGTGGAAATTGTCCTATTGCCCATGTTCTATTGCTCACCAATGCCTTTTTGAAGTTCTTCCTCCTATTTCTTGTTCCTGGGATTATGATGTGTTCGCTTCCTTTTCCCCATTGCATCCCCATGCCTCACCCGGTCCATGCGGTTCACTGTCCCGCTTTAGGTTGCGTCCACCCAGTTCCAGAATTCTCGCACTTCGAATGCTGCCCTGGATGCCGCGCGGACACGACGCCTCCGACACGGACGGCTTCGTCAATCTATCGTTTCGCGCCCCGCACATGCAATTGGTTATGTCGTCAGCGAGGTCGGGACTCGCTCTCGGGAGTGGTACGCCTATTCCCCCTTGTCCTCCTTCCTCCTCCTCCTCCTCCTCCTCCTCCTCCTCCGCCTCTTTCTCCTCCTCCTCCTCCTCCTTTTCTTCCTCCCTCCCTCCTCCTCCTCCTCCTCCTCCTCTTCCTCCTCCTTCCTCTCCTCCCTCCCCTCCTCCTTCCTCCTCCGTCCTCCTCCTCCTCCTCCTCCTCCTCCTCCTCCTCCTCCTCCCTCCTCCTCCTCCTCCTCCTCTCCTCCTCCTCCTCCTCCTCCTCATCCCTCCTCCTCCTCCTCCGCCGCCTCCTCCTTCGCCTCATCCTCCTCCTCCTCCTCCTCCTCCTCCTCCTCCTCCTCCTCCTCCTCCTCCTCCTCCTCCTCCTCCTCCTCCTCCTCTCCTCCTCCCCCTCCTCCGCCTCCTCCTCCTCCTCCTCCTCCTCCCTCCTCCTCCTCCTCCTCCTCCTCCTCCTCCTCCTCCTCCTCCTCCTCCTCCTCCTCCTCCTCCCCCCCTCCTCCTCCTCCTCCTCCTCCTCCTCCTCCTCCTCCTCCTCCTCCTCCTCCTCCTCCTCCTCCTCCTCCTCCTCCTCCTCCTCCTCCTCTCCTCCTCCTCCCTCTCATCATCATCATCATCATCATCATCATCATCATCATCATCATCATCATCATCATCATCATCATCATCATCATCAGCATCAGCATCAGCATCAGCATCAGCATCATCATCATCATCATCATCATCATCATCATCATCAGCATCATCATCATCATCATCATCATCCTCATCCTCATCCTCATCCTCAGCATCAGCATCATCGTCATCGTCATCATCAGCATCAGCATCAGCATCATCATCATCAGTATCATCATCATCATCATCAGCAGCATCATCAGCATCATCAGCATCAGCATCATCATCATCATCATCATCATCATCAGCATCATCATCATCGTCATCGTCATCGTCATCATCATCATCAGCAGCAGCGTCATCATCATCATCTTTTGCGCCCTCCTCCTCATCCTCCTCGCCGTCCTCGTCCTCCTCCTCGCTCTCCCCCTCATCCTCCTCGGACTCTCCCTCCTGTTCCTCGCCATCCTCCCGCGCTCCGAGGCACCGTGCGGGCACCGCGAGGACAGGTGGCGCCGCGGGGCCAGATCGGGATCCCAGAGGGCAGGCAGGCAAGCAGATTGACCGATTGCGGCCGTCGGCGGTTGTTGCTGCTCTTTGTCATGTTCCCCCCCGCCATCTCCTCGCCATCGTTTTCGCAGCCTCCGAGGGTCCATCTCGCTCGTCGATATCGGTCCCAGCTGGCTTGGTCCAGTTGGATCCCGTTGTTCAGACGATCGATCCAGGGCGGCATGAGGTTTGCACGGCGCTGTTGTGCACCCTGGCGCGGCCGATTCTGTTCGATCCCGACTCCGTGGTGACACGGGCCGATGCGACGCGCGTTCCGACTCGATCCAAATCTCCGATTCGATGGTGATATCGTGGTGTTCTTTTCAAGTATCCCTATTCCTCCTATGTTCCCCAATTGCCATTTTGTTTCCTCTGCCTCGCCCCGTCTCCCCAATCCCTCTCCTCCATCACCCTCCCCGGTGTTTCCTGCTGACCTTGTTGTGCGATGTGCGGTGAGGGCCACGTGGCCCGACGGGCGAGTATTCACTTGATGTCACGTGCCGCGACGATTGCAGCGCCAGGACTTCAGGGCCAGGAGAAGGAGGAGGAGGAGCAGCAGCACCAGCGAACGGGCGAGGAGGAGACCGCCTCCCCCGCGAGGACGACGGACGCGAGCGCGGGAACGTGTCCCCGTGGGCCCGGCCGCCGCTGCGAGCCCCGGGCCTGGGAGCGCGGGGCCCCGGGGGAGGGGGAGGAGGAGGAGGGGAGGAGAACAACCGCACGCCAGGAGAAGGAGGAGTCCGATGAGGAGGAGGAGGTGGAGGAGGTGGAGAAGAAGGAGGAGGAAGACGAGGACGTGGAGGAAATGGAGGAGGAAGAGGACGGGGAGGGGGTGGGAGGAGGACGAGGAGGAGGAGGAGGGGAAGGGGGAGGAGGAGGAGGAGGAGGAGGAGGAGGACAAGGGTAAATCCAAGACTCACCGACGTATCAGGCTCGTATAAGGTGAATCTCTGAACCGCGTCAAAGCACCATTCATGGGACCTCAGCGCCGCGAAGGAAGGTTACTGTTGCGACCTGACGATCCAGAAGCCGGGCGTGGTCTTACAAGGCCGGGAGGTCGACGTTTTGGTTTGCTCTTTCGTGGTCTTACAAGCCCGGCTGTTCGATGGTTTTTTGTCTTTTGTTTGCGTTGCCCCCGCTTCCGCTTCCAGATGCGTGGCCCCGCGCCTGCCTCAGGGCCGCGCCCAGCCCCTGCAGGCCCCGCCCCACCAGAGCCAGCCCAGCCCCCACGAAACTCCGGTTTCCCCCAGGGGGTGGGAGGTGCACGGGCAATCCGCAGCTCGCTGGAAACCCTACCCCCAAGCAGGCCCCAAAGGCACCATTAGGAATTGAACCCAAGAAGGTCAGATTATGGGAAGAAATATTCCCCATTTTACTACAATTCGGCACACACAGGGGAAGGAGGGCATATGATTGCCCTATTCTATGGCACGTCCCCTATTCTAGTAGTGGTGGTGGTGGTCGTCGTCGTCGTTGTGGTGGTGGTGGTGGCGGGGGTAGCGGTGGCGTGCGCGGTGGCAGTGCGGCGGCAACGGTGAACGCAGCCGTGAGGGGGGGGTGGGCGGCGGCTGTGGTCGCCGCAGTGTTGGTAGTGGCTTTGCATGGGCGGTGGCAGTGGCGACAACAGCGGCGGCGGCGAGCGCGGCCGCTGTGGGGGGCTGAAAAGGTCTGGGAGCCGCGGCGCTGGGTGCTTCAAACAAGCAGCGGCCGAGGTGGTGGCGGCTGGGCAGCCAGTGGCAGTGGGAGTGATCGTGGTGTGGGCGGCGGTGCCTTTGGCGGGGGCGGCAGCAGCAGCGGTGGGGACAGCGATAGTGGTGGGGCAATGCTGGGCGGGGGCCGGGGGGGGCGGTGGCCGCGGTGATGGTATTGGCTGCGGCGTGCCTGGGGCAGGCGCGTTTGCTTGCTTGCTGGATAGTGGCGGCGGGGCTGGGTCGCGCTGGGGGGGGTGGGGGTGCGGCGGGGGGTGGTGGCTGTCGGCGCAGCAGCGGCGGCGGTGGTGGGCCCGGTTGGAAATGCCAGAGGCAGCGGCAGGGTTGGCGGCCGCGGCGGCAGCGGTGGCGGGGGTAGCGGTGGTGTGCGCGGTGGCAGTGCGGCGGCAACGGTGAGCGCAGCCGTGAGGGGGGGGGGGGCGGCTGTGGTCGCCGCAGTGTTGGTAATGGCTTTGCATGGGCGGTGGCAGTGGCGACAACAGCGGCTGCGGCGAGCGCGGCCGCTGTGGGGGCTGAAAAGGTACTGGGAGCCGCGGCGCTGGGTGCTTCAAACAAGCGGCGGCCGAGGTGGTGGCGGCTGGGCAGCCAGTGGCAGTGGGAGCGATCGCGGCGTGGGCGGCGGTGCCTTTGGTGGGGGCGGCAACAGCAGCGGCGGGGACAGCGATAGTGGTGGGGCAATGCTGGGCGGGGGGCGGGAGGGGGGGGGGCGGTGGCCGCGGTGATGGCATTGGCTGCGGCGTGCCTGGGGCAGGCGCGTTTGCTTGCTTGCTGGATAGTGGCGGTGGATGGCTGGGTCGCGCTGGGGTGGGGGTGGGGGGGTGGGGGCTGTCGGCGCAGCAGCAGCGGCGGTGGTGGGCCTGGTTGGCAATGCCAGAGGCAGCGGCAGGGTTGGCTTGGCGGCCGCGGCGGCAGCGGTGGCGGTGGCTTTCGCAATGGGGGCGGTGGCAATTCTAAATTTCAGAATTCCTGAGTATGCAAAGCTCTAAGTACATGTAAACGGCCTTACTTGCACAGAATCCTTTCTACAGTGATTTCCCCCGCAATGACAATGGCATCCCTAGAACACATCCCTTCATGTAGGCTGCTCAGGCCCCACCAGGAATTGAACCCAAGAAGGACAGATTGTGAGAACATGGATGCCCCATTTCACTACATTAACAGTATTTTACCTGGGAGGGTTGGGCATATTTCGCCTGCTCCATTCCACTGAATTGTGTCATTTCACTACATTACCAGCAGATTCCGAGAAACAGGCTCCCGGCAAAGTCCCAGGAGTGAAGGCCATGAGGCCCTAAGCGCCCTGGCGCCATCGTCCCAGGGCCTCCTCGCAAGCCTCAAATCCGCCAAGGCCTTGGCTCTATGGAGGCTACAGGGGCGCAGACGCCCCAATCCCCTCGACAGTTTCCCCTCGGGGCAATCGAACTGCGGGCGCGAAAAAAAAATGCCCGCAATTTTCAAGGAGATTAGCTCTGCGGGCCGGAAAAAAAGTGCCCGCGCCCCCCTGCCACCTCTGGGCAATCGAAATGCGGGCAGGAAAAAAACTGCCCGCAGTTTTTCAACGAGATTAGCTCTGCGGGCCGGAAAAAAATGCCCGCCCCCCTTCGAAGTGCGGGCAGACAAAAAAAATGCCCGCAGTTTTTCAAGGAGATTAGCTCAAGGGGCCAGAAAAATTTTCCGAATATATGTTTTTCCAACTGAGACCTGCAAGAAGTACTACTGGGATTTGAACCTGTGAAGTGCAGATTCTGTCCTAACGCCTTATCGGTCAGGCCATGCAGTCGAGAAGATCTGATCGCCCCGCCGATATCGTTCATTTTGTGGCCCTGGCCCCTGTGGAGGCGACCCCTGCCTCCACAGAAGGCGCGCCCGTGCGAGCCAGCCCGGGATGGCTGGGGGCAGCGCTGCTGGGGGCACCGCTGCTGCGGGCGCCCCTCGCCTGGGGCTGCGTGAGGGCTCGCAGGCCCGTGTGTTTGGCCTCCGTCGTTCAGGATGGCGCTCTCGCCCCAGCGCGGGCCCCTTTCTCCCGCGCCCATCCGCCCGCCACCACCGCGCCGCACCACCGCCACCACCACCACCACCACCACCACCACCACCACCACCACCATCACAACCACCACCAGCACCAGCACCACCACCACCACCAGCACGAGCACCAGCACCAGCACCAGCACCAGCACCAGCACCAGCACCACCACAACCACGCACACACGCACGCACGCACGCACGCACGTGCACCACCACCCACTACGCACGCGCGCGCGGAGCCACAGGTCCGCTACGACACGCGTCCGCGGATAGAGAAAATCAGCGCCATGGTAAGGGATGGGAGGGAGGGGTAGGACGTCAGATATGACGCGAGCCCACCTAGCTTGTCCCCCTCCCCCTCCTCCTCCTCCGCCTCCTCCTCCCCCTCCGCCTCCTGCTTCCTCCTTTTCCTCGCATTCATATTCCTGCTCCTGCTCCTGCCCCTGCTCCTGCTCCTGCTCCTGCTCCTGCCCCTGCTCCTGCTCCTGCTCCTGCTCCTGCTGCTCCTCCTCCTCCTCCTCCTCCTCCTCCTCCTCCTCCTGCTCCGAATATCATCTTCCTCCTCTACCTCTCGCTCCTCCACCGCCTCTTCCTCCTCGCCCTCCTCCTCCTCCTGCTCCGCCTCCCGTTTCCCCCCTTTCCTCCTGTTCCCCTTCCTTTTCCTCATCCTTTTCCTGCTCCTCCTCCTCCTCCTCCACCTCCTCCTTTTCCTCCGCCTCCTCATCGTCATCCTCCTCCTCCTCCTCCTTGGCCTCCTGCTTCCCCCGTTCCTCGCATTCCTCTTCCTCCTCCTCCTCCTCCTCCTCCTCCTCCTCCTCCTCCTCCTCCTCGTCCCCCTCCTCGCGCGCAACGATGCTGAGCGGAACCCCTCTGTGGCTTCCAGAAAAGCCTGGGCGACCGAGAAGGGCCAGAGGAACAACCGCGGAAGGACGACTGCAACATCGAGCCCCTTCCGAATCCAACGCGTTCCTCCTTTCAGCGTCTAGGCTGCGCGCACCCCTCAAGTAAAAATGCCGATTCACTGCGCGGCCCCGCCGATGCACCCGGCGCTCCCCGGGAAAGGCTTGACAGCGCGCAAAAAAAAGAGTTGTCCCCACGCTGTCGTCTCCGCTCCCCCCCCCCCGCCCCCCGTCTGCGCGGGGCCCAATGGGGCGCCCTGCACGTTGCCAAGTAACGCCTTCTGGAATGAGCCCTGACATGTTTTCTTTGCTGGGAAGAACCCGGCGGGGGCTCCTGCAAGGGGCCAGCCCAATAGGGCCACCTGTGAATGGAGCCCGTCTATGCCTTCTGCATGGGCCCCGCCAAGGCCTGTGGATAGGGCCGACCATGGCCTCGTGCGAGGAGCCCAGGAAAGCCTGCTGCAAGGGGCCAAGGACGCCCCGTGCACAGCATGCCTCAAGGTCCTTGAAGGCTCCGAGGGTTCTAGCAGCTTCGGCCCCAGATTCTTTGGGAAGCCGCGGGGGCAGCGAGGCCCTGGCGCCTGGGGCCCTGGGGGCCGTGGGAGCGCCCAGGCGCCCCGAGCCCTGGAAGACCCTGGCCTCTAGTAGTAGTAGTAGTCGTGATTGCCCTGCATTCCTTTGCACTGCGTAAAATTGCTGGGCGATGCTGCGCGATCCTTTGCATCGCACAGCCGTCTTGACGATCGCCATCACCGTCGCTTTGCCGTGCCCATTTTGGCTCAGGGTTCGCGCAGCGGGGGGGCCTCTTCCCACTTGCGCTCTCGGTAATCTCGCAAGCTGTGCTCTTGGCCCTCATGTCTGGCCACCAGCGCGCTCGGGAGAGTTCAGCGGCCTCGGGGGCCTCGCTGGCTTGCCCGGGATGCCGACGCCCGCTCCGCGCAGTGCGGACCCTCGCCCGGGAGACCTGCGGCAAGTGCCACGAGAGGGCCAAGGGCGGCTGGCTGCAGCACTGCGAGCCCTGCGGGGCGCTG